AGTGTCAGCGGAACATTTGTTTAATAGCTGTGGAATGCATCGATGGAAGACATGAACAGCTGGATGTGTGAGTCCATCTGCGGTGCACAGTGGCGGTCACACAAACTCTGCCGGGATGACAGTGGATCCCGTTGTCTGATTTATGCCATAGTCTAATTACCAGCAGCAGACGGGTTCAGAGAGAATCAACAGACACCCCTGTTTACATACACTTTATTCCTTGCACGGACTCAAGTTTGGATGCTAGTGGAATAGTAAAGGTCAGACACTCAGAGAGATGTTATACTCAAGGCTGTAAAAAAGTCTAGTCTGTGGCAGACAGAAAAAAAACAAAACGAATGCCTTAGCCATCTTCTTGCCTGGGTTTTCACTCCTATCTCCATAGGATGTAAATCTTCTTATTCTGCAATTGGAATGATTACACATTGCTGGGAAGGCTCAGAGCTGCCTTCTGTATTTTTAACAAATGGAGAAGAGGCATGTGGCAGCTGAAAGTTCTATCTTTCCGCACTGTGTGCAAGACAGTGGCAATAAATTTTCAAAAGAGTTGTTTACTGAAGTGCTCCAGCTAATAAAAAAGAAGTTAAGCTGTTATTGAGAAATCTCCCTCCCACCAAACCACTGATGGATCAGTCAGTTTTCAAGGTTGTAGAGAAGGCAGCCCTGGATCTTTCTCGTGGGCCTGGCCATGAGGTATGTCGCCTTTCCTGCATGTCCAAAGGATATTACCAAGTGAGAATTCCTTCACCTGGGCACAAGCTTCAATCAGACCCCAGGTATGTGGGAAAGCTGATGATTTATGTCTATCTGGCCACATTCCCATGTACCATTGATTATATTTCTATTCCTGGATGGTAAATCTTTTTGCTATGGTGTTTTTGCAAGCCAGATAGGCTTTTTTATGTTTTCCAGGTTTATTTTTGTGTATAAAACCTAATCACTCTACTGTGACACGCAGGACACAGATACATAACATACACATAAAGTGCTGGTATCTGTGATGTCTCCCCTACCGAATGGAAACCGCTGCTTTATGAAGAGATGATAGGAAAAGAATTGTATAAATATGTGCACCTTAATAATCAATGCATTAATTCCCTTCTCCCCTTCTACTGAGGGTTCTCCTGCAATTCCAGGGCAGAAGTCACATTCCGTAGCCTAGATTGAATTATGAAACTTGGATCTTTGACTCAACCATTCTTATCTTCTTCCTGAACCAGTGTTTATCTTGGGCTCCCTTATTTGCTTGTTGTGCCATCTTTATCCTTTTTTTTTTTTTAAAATTCCATCCTCACATTTTAATATGCTGAGGCATATATGATCACATATATCTTGTGATCCTGCCAATCATGTGGACAGCTGCCTCTTTCTTCTTCATATATTTTTTTTAACTTTTGGACAAAAGGATTACCATCTAAAATTGGAAAATCCAAGTTGGAACTGGACTGGAGCCCAGTGTCGGGCATTTCAATCCACGCAAAGCTCTTCATTCTCAGCAAGTTCTGTCAGTCACATCCCATATTTGCAGCTATGACCATATACTGTGCTGGGAAGATTGACTTTTTAAGATTCCTTGTCTATTTCCCTTAACTTTAAGTCTAAAAATAAATGGGAGAACAGATGAGAGCGAAATTGCAGAGAATTGTTCTCATACATAATGTAACTCCCTATTTAGGAGCAAGCATAAAAGTGTAATTTCATGTTCATTTTGAGGACTCTAAGCCAGCTTTGGGGCACACAGTCTGGTTCTAGGGAAGGAGGTGCAATTCGGCCAGGTGTGAGCGAACATTTCCATGACCCCTAGGATGGAGACGTCATAGGCAGCGTGCGTGGCAAAGCCTCTGACGTCGTGGTGTGTTTCAGTTCCGCCAGTTCCCGCGAGGGCGTCCACCCTTAGAAGTGGCCAAAGGCACACCTTGATAGATGTTCTTGTGTGTAGATCACAGCCAGGATGACAGTTCCAGTGCCTCCATCTGAGCATTAGTATCTCTACTTTTTTTTTTTTTTTTTTTTGAAGATAACAATGGTGAGAGTTTTAGACGACATTCTATGGGTTCTAATCTCATGCCTTCTTTTTCTTCTTCTTCTTTCTTGGCTGTGAAATAATAACACCATTCCCTCATTTCATATTCTTGTAAAAAAAAAAAAACAAATGACATAATTTGCCACCAGATGCTGAAATGATAAAACACGGTACTAATGGTTACCGATAATGTGTTGAATTTGACCTGCCTGTTGAGTTTTCAGAGAACAGGAGATGCCTGGCTCAGCTCTCACGCAAAGTGTGATATTCTGTGCTTATTTTCTATTTCAAAGGACCAGGGGTTAATAAATACAAGGACCAACCTTAAAAGGAAAGTGTTATAGCCAGTCGATCTGAGGAGTTGACCCAGAACCAGCTGTATGGGCTAAAGGAAGGAGTGTGAGCTATAGTAACATTATCGGATTACAAGTGCATTTAGAAAAGTATACATCCATTTATTTTTTCGAAGTGAAGTTATTAGAGCTGTGATACACAATCTTCAACTTGAAATGTTTTTGGCTTTCATGAAGACTTAAGGTATCCAAAAATACACAAGAAAGCAAAATTAATTTAATTAAACATATTATTTCTTCAGAACTTTTAATAGCTGGCACAGATGTCGAACATCTCTTAATAATCACTTCTGATCCCTTGGAAATGACAAGAGACTTAGGATACAGCTCGGTGTAGTAATACCTACTCTGGAGCAATTTTTACATAAACCATGTTGCATTCACAGGTCCCTGCAGTCGCCGTGACTGTGGGTGGGGCTGCCGACACTGACAAGGCTGGCGAAATAGTTCATCCAGTAGCAGAGATACTGGATTTCCGCCACCTGCCAATCACTGGGCAGGTGCCAGGAACACATTGATGTAAATGATGTGCCTCAGCTTGTGGCCTAGCAGGAGAAGAGGGCACATAATTGATTTTTGTGTGGTTCTTGTGCAATTTATTAGAAGTCGTGTTCATTCAGCCATCCATTCTTTCATTCACTCATTCCTATGGAGTATTGCCGAGCATCTTCTAGAGGCCAGGCATGGGGCTAGGGCCCGAGTATTCAGCTGAAGACACCAAAGGCTCAGCGCTCATGGGTCTGCATGGGAACAGGCGATCAGCATCTCAGAGCAGGTGGCATTGGGGACGGCTTCTGAACAGTGACTGTTTTCCAGGAAGAGGAGGAAGTGTGAGTTTTAGGCAGAGAGGTTATCACGCTAAGGACACTGATCTGTGAATATGCAAGCCCTATTTTGGGACTGGTTGTGTTCATTGGGGTAGAGTTTGGGGTTTGTGAGTGTTGGCATCAGGATAAGAACTCTTCATGTCTTGAAGATGAAGCTGAAGCCTGGATATTTAAGGAATCCGCCCAAGTTCACAGAAGTAGTTAAAGGAAGAGCTTGAATCAGGGTGACAGCGAGGCATGGAGGGTGCACGGTAAGGCAGTGGCTGTCATTAAGCTGTGTCTCCTCTAAGCATCGCAGTTGCTTGCAGGCATCTCTGAGAGCTGCATCCACCTGCCCTGGGCAGTGGACGTGTGTCCTGTGCCCCAGTAGCTTTCGAAAAGGCCACTCACTCAATATTCCCTTGTAGCAGGAAAGGAACTCCTGGTCGTTTCCTAGACAGAGGTAAGGACTGAGCCTATCGTGTGACATTGAGATGCAGCAGTAAGTGCATTTCTCAGAGGTCCACCGGATGTAGAGAAGAACGATGTGCCTATCCCCTCCCTTTCAGCAGACTCGGCTGTGCAACCTTAGGCCTTGGCACAGTAACGTCGCACACAGCCGTCGTAGCAGGGGCCGCACGTTCACTGTGGCTCGGACCTCTGTAGCACCTGTGTGTTCTAATCGACTCAAGTGAAGGAGGTTTAGGTGCACTTCGAATTAACTCATATTTTGCAGTACGATTCATCTCTCTAGATTAAACTATAGGTCTGGGCCAGTCTAAGGAATGTTCCATTTACCTTCTAAAATTTCAGTATTGACAATTGAGTGTTCATTCTGAGAGACACATTCTGTTGTGGAGGAGGGGCAGTGTGTCAATAACAACAGCCACAAAGTTACATCAGTGTTAAAAAGGTGTCGATGGAAGTAGCACAATGGAATATTATGCAGCCTTTAAAAAGAAGGAAATGCTATCATTTGTGGCAACATGGATGAACCTGGAGGACACGAAGCTAAGTGTAATAAAGTAGGCACAGAGAGACAGATATCACATGATCTCACTGATATGTGGAATCTACAAAAGTCGGACTCCTAGAAGCAGAGAGTACGATGTTAGTTACCAGGGGCTAGAGGTGGAGAGCGAATGGGAAAAGGGAGATGTTGGTTAGAGGATAGAAAAATCTCAGTTAGATAGGAGAAATAAGTTTTGGTGGCCTATTGCACAGCTGGGTGACGATACTTAATGCCAGTGTATTCTATATTCCAAAATTGCTAAGAAAGTAGATTTTAAATTATATGAGGAGATGAATGTGTTAGTTTGGTTTAATCATTACACAATGTAGACATATATTGTAACATCGCATTTTACCCCATAAAGATACACGATTGTTATTTGTCAATTAAAAAGAAAAAAGATACTGTCTTTATTAGTTACGTGTGTGTATATAAACTTTTTCCCCAAAGACAATACTATTTTCAAGCTGGTTGAATTCATGTTAATCACCATATAGAGAGGGAAGAATAGAATAAAAAAAACCGAAAAAAAAAAAAACTTCCAATTCAATTCCCCCCGAAGTGGGGCAACGGAAGAAGGTTTAAAGAAAAAAAAACTCAAGTTGCCGAACCAAAAAAAAGAAAAAAAAACCAACTCAAAACCAAAACCCGAAAACTAACCTTCCCCGAAAAAAAAGGCGCAACCCAAGCCGGTGAAAGGTGATATTTTGTGAATTTTCCAGCGGCAGCGTATGATGATAGGTTGACCCTAGTCACAACGGTGGTGGACGTATTTACACTGCCTTTGGCTCTTCTTCTCTTTGCAGGAACACTGAGAGGCCATTCCTGCTTTTCTTGTCTTACCTCCATGTGCACACGGCCCTCTTCTCCAACCGGGACTTCGCCGGCAAAAGTCGACACGGCGCGTACGGGGATGCTGCCGAGGAGATGGACTGGAGCGTGGGTACGTGCGTCTTCCGTGTGTGCTTAGAAAGCGAGAAGTCTTCACCCCCTTCTGTCTCTTTTCCTGCGAATTTCTACTTGTGGTCCTGATGCCTTTATAGACGACAAATGTGTGTGTGTTTCCTAAGGTAACCAAAAACACAAAATTTTGGAAGGTAAACAGGATACAAAAGCAGCTTCAGCCCGGTGCGCACGTTTGCAGTTGCCAAGGGCTACGTCTCGGGGGAGGTCTGCGTCCACGGGCTGGAAACTGAGGAGATTAATGGAGAAAAGGAGCCAGAGCGGCGGTCCTTGTCATCTCTTACTCTGTCAACACTGAAACACGAATGGCGCCTTGTCGTTAGCAAAGTTAGACAGGTGGTAGCTTTGGATGCAGAACACCTGCAGGGGTCTACGGCCTTGGAGAGCCTCCCAAGGCAACACGCCTGGGCCCCGTGTTCTTGCTGCGTCTGAGGACTGCAGAGATTTCTTCGTCTTCGTGTCCTTTCTCCCTTTTCCTAGGCCAATCGCCATATTTCTGAGAAATAGGGTATTTTTCAGAGATGCTGGAAAGACTTCCTTTTGGAAGCTTCATTTAAAAATCTGTCCTCCATATCAACGTGGGACAGCCATCACCTTTTCCTCTGGGTGCTTTGGTGGCACGGAGTTCGTTTTGTTGGTTCATTTTAAGCAGCACCTTGATTGCAGTGATGGTCTCTACCAGGGTGATTACACAAACAAGTTTTGTTCTGTTTTGTTTTAAATTACGAAAGGAGCGCCAGCTTAAGAAACAAGAAGACTAGACTCTTCTTCCAGCTTCTAGATCTTTCTTTAATTATCTCTGTGAATGCGGAAGATGTCTTAAATCTCAAAACTTCTCATTTGTGATCTCGATAGGAAGAAGTCAGACTAGACAAGTCCTATGTTTCTTTTTTTCTCTAACAGCGTGTGGCCCTATACCGTAACAAGAATGAGTATCATTTGTAATACTAACTATGAAAAGCAAAACCAGAACATTCTCCCTAACAAGATTTATAAGAAGGATGCATTGTGCTTAGAGCTTTCACATGTGTCAGTACCAGCCTGCCTCCTTTAATTTTTTACTTTCTAAAACGTTGCATGTAAATCAATTTGCATATTTCACATCTTAGTAGTGTAAATCAGTAGACTATTCCGTAGTGTAAATCAGTAGAATATTTTATCTCATTAATGAGTGTTACATTTTAATGTGTCTAACTTTTGATACAACTCTCAGACTCCTGTTGGCTAGCAAGCAACCTCACGCTGACATCATCACACCTATTGATTAAATTTTATTTAATTATAATATACTGGTACACCTGCCTCCTTTGACTCATTAGAAATTGTAACTTCCACTATGGGCTTACTACTGGTTCCCGCTAGAATATTTAGACAGTATTTTTTAATCTTTGAGACCTGCATTAGACTCTGATATAATATTTATAGATGATTGTGTTCTTTTTTCTTTTTCTTTTTTTGCCAAAAGATAAAACCCTTCCCCTAGGCATTACATTAATTTTTCAGGAAGTTTTTGTTTTATAAATCCAATACATCTGACTGTTTTGAGAAACAGTCCTTCTTTCCAAGAAAGGCCTTTCATCATTACACAGAAGGGGACTACAGCACTCTGAATAATTATGTAATAAAATAAAAGGGGGATATTTGCTTTAAAAGGACTGCACAAAGGATAACTGAGATAGGAGCAGTACACTAGGACAGACACATCTCAGTCATTCAGAGCATTTTTTTCCAAAACCTGAGGGCAGCATAATTTCGAGGGAGCATCCCTTTCTCCCCGGCAGGTTTCTCTGTGCCTGGAAAAGCAGATTTGCAACAAAGCACCTTATTATTTGACTGTCCACCATGGCCCGCTCCACCCCATAGTTTGGGGATAAAAATTATGGACCCCACGTTACTGCCTGATTCTTAGCTGGGTGACGGCTCTGTCTTGTATTGTTACTGTAACTGGAGGAAGACTGACACCACAGAGATGCGTGAGAGCTACAGAAGGGCTTTGCAATAAAACCACGCAGGAGTCCTTAAACTCCTGGAACTATAATACCCCCATGCAAATTTAAAGGTGGGAGCAGCACTTTTAAAATAATCCCAGTGACCACCCTTGAGAGCTTACCCCACGCCTGGCCATGAGGCCACATGCGTGGCCTCCTTGAGTGCCGCCCATTCTACAGGTGAGGCTTGGGGAGGTTAAGGACACCCACCTCAGGTTGCAGAACTCATAATGGATGAGCAAGTGTTCACATGAAGCTGCCTCATGTCTCCACTGCCTTGTTCCTCTTCTTTCTGAGTAACAGGGAAGGCTGCATCATCGCTGTGCAAGGTCGACAGCAGAGGGTCAACAGCAGATCTCTGGGAAAGCGTTAGTTTATTCATTGGTCACATTTTCTGGGTGCCAACTGTGTGTGCCTAAGTGTTTTGGAGAGAGAGGTTCAATAATGATAAGACTCTTGGCTTAAGGGAACAGAAAGGCTGCTAAGGGACTTAAAATTCTTCCAGGAGATCTTATCATGACGCAGGGCAGACAGTGAGGACTATCCCGAGGGAGGGGCAGGTGAAGCGCTTGAGCAGTTTGGAATAAGCAAGGAGGAAAGGTGGACATATGTGGCCGGCGGACACAACTGGACACGCCCGCAGTGGAATTCCCTGGGCAATCCTGCTGCTACTGCAAAGTCTGATTTTCAATCCAATTAATTCTGAAGCAGCTGAGTGTTAGGGAGGAACAAATATGTAAGATTGCATTTGTTTTCAAATGTGCACCAGGCATTTTGGGGGCATGTCATTCTGTCCATTTTTCTTCCATTGGAAATAGGCTGACTTTGACCACAGACCTGTTCATGGATGAGGGGTGTGGGGGGAGCTGGTGGAGGGATGGACGTAGTTCTCACCAATGGATGGTTCTTATCTACGGCTTATACCATCCTAGTGCTCACGGCTCCCGGCTGTCAGACAGCATTTGCATGCAGTCGGCGTTCACTTAGAGCCCCCTGTGCTATTAATAGAACCACACGCAGGAATCATAAATCAGCCCTTGCTCAGGATTCGGCTAGCAAATTCTGTGCTCTTAGGAAGAGAAATTCAAGCAGAGAACAATCAAGTGGATGCTAAAACAAATCCCTGGCTTCAGCTCAAACCTTCCTATTGAAAACAAAAAAATTCCTGCCACCACTAAGGGTTGGAATCAAATGGTTTATATGAGATTCTCTTTCAAACACAAATGGTGGAAGAAACACCAGCGTCCTGGGCTTGCTGAGTTTGGTGTTTAGTTGCTCACGATCTCTGGCTTGGCACCCCCTAGTGGCTTAGCCTCACAAGCCAGCCCTCAGTTTCTCTTCTTTGATTTCTTCTGCCACCCCTCCCCCCACCCTTGGGGGATGGGGGTAGGGGCTCTGGACAGTGTCACCACCTGTGGGCACAGAGAACCAAGCTGGAGGAAAAATAAGGGATGAATTCTTGAAAGGTAACCTGGGGAGATGGCACAGAATACATCCCTCCTTACCATGCCTGATGTATGTTCAATCATGTGCCGCTCAACGTGGCAGCAAAGGCCCCACATCCAGCCCCTCTCGAGGGATGGAGAAAAAGTTGGAGGGTCTCATTTACAAGAGCTCAGGATAGAGACAGGAACCTCAAGAAATGCAAGAAAATTCCACCAGAGGGAAGACTTGGGTATTGGTCAGGAAGTCCTTCAAACCTACATAATTCCAACCAGGGTCTGGCTAACCGGACCTGGTTCTGTTGGATTATCCATTCCAAAATAGACTCTTTCTAGGATGTCTGGACTGAAATAGCTGTAGGGGCACAGACCTCAACATACAATGAATACCCCCTCCGTGAACAGGCTCATTTACCTGCGCGAAAGTGCTCTGGTTTAGTTTATGTATCAATAGAAGACATCTACCTTTAGAATCCTATAGACTGGGCACATAGTAGGTACTTAATAAGTAGTTTTGAAAAGTGAAGTCTTGGAGAACAGATGCCTGATATTTACAAGGCCCTATCTAAGGTGCCAGGAATTGCTAGGGACCCAGTCATGAATACGGCTATCATGGTTTTCTCCTGTGTATGTAGATAATGGTCCAACCACGGGTGTGGAGCAGATTACCCTGCAGGAATGTTTAAGGCAGTGGAGGAACTTATGACCTACAGTTTATCTCTATCTAAATCCAGGATAAGGGTTTGGAAATCAACCTTTGTGTCTCTACTTCGCAAAAACTGTAAGACCTAAAAAAGCAATGCCCATGTTCTCTCTGTCATTCCGTGTTCTGTACAGAATGTAGCCTGGACTGCAGGCTGTGTGTTTCCCTTGGGATGCAGTACATCGCTTTTCTATCTTGGGTTTCTTAAACATTCATATTTTTGATCAATGGGACCTTCTTGAGAGCATGAAAGTTACATGCTTACTTCTGTGGCACGCTGGCAATGGCAGGTCCGCTAGAACATTGAAAGGAAGGTCAAAATGGGAAGAACCCCTTCCCCCCTGCCAAAAAGAAAACTCACAGAGTGGCCAGAGACTGAGAAGTGGGGTCAGGGAATTCAGGGGCCAGGAGCATTTCAAGGAAGGAGGATCGACACCAACAAGTACTTCAGAGATATCAGGAAGAGGTGAAAAGGGACAAGTGAGTGTACTCCCATAAACTGTGGAATCATAGTGGATGGCAGAGAGAGTGCATTTGGGGAGCTGGGGTCAATGAGGTTGGGCAACACTTTCAAGAGGAAGGGAGGACTTTGCACAAGGGCTGTGTCTGAGGTCAGCTCTGCTCTGAACTGGGTGTCGGCATCAGTATGTGGAATTGTGTGATTTTCAGTCCAATGCGGGACAGGGAGTAGGGTCACCAGATTGATTGACAATTGGAATTTTGCCAGCAGGGAGTGTCACAAAAGGCACTGGACAGCGGACTTTGGGTTAGCAAGAGAATGACCACGATGGGGGTGTATGAGGAGAGTAGGGGGCTGGTGGCTTCGGAGGGAATGGATTGGACATTG